TTGGATTGTTAAGTTATTGGGTGAAAATGATAGTTTTTAATTGGTGTCATTCAGTTTGTTGTTTTTTCGGTACATAATGATGGTGTCATATTAATTCTATTTGTTTGAATATTTTAGATTGGTAAGTTATTTGGTGTAATTGATCGTTTTTATTTACTAAACATAATGGTCTGCCAGTTTGCTTAGATTCTAATTTTTATGGTGTTTTTCATAGTGGTGTTTTTGGTAAATAATGATGGTGTTCATATTTATTCTGCTTGGTAGATCATTTGGATAACTCAAAAAATAACTTAATAGTGTAATTTATGAATTTTGTGGTACATATATTGAATAATTATTGGAGAGAACTCTTTAAACCAGGCTATGTTATTTTAATACATTGAATTGACCAGGCTGATTGTTGAGATTGACTTCAAATATGTTTTGATCTAAAACAGGTAGATATGTTGATTACGATATTGAAGGAGTAATATATGATGCAAACACAAAACATGAAGACTTAATTACTACTATTGTTTTCCAATTAGTTGTGGACACAACAATATTTCATTTAGAACTAAAATATGTCGTGAGTGGACCATCTCCACCAATGAAGATTTATAATGATATGGGTTATTACAAGGAAACAACCAGGCAGACCACCAAGCAACGATCGTAAGAAGGGATTCAACGAAGAAAAATACAAGAGGAATAAAGTCACTTGTAATAAATGTGGTACATCAGGGCATAACAAAAGGACTTGCCCCAAATTTGCTTATCAGAATTAACATTGTTGTATTTCAATTATTATTGTTGATGTTTTCTTCCAACAGTTCTGAATTTTTTTAAGACTGATAAATGCACTTTTATCCAATTTGGTTACTCTTGATTAGTTTATTTGTATTATTGATGATTTAATTGACATATCTTTGATATTCTCATGTTTGGCATACAAGTTTGGTATTATCGTGTTTGTCCTACAGTGTTGCGTTCTAGGTGACTTAAATAAATGCAACATGTTCAAAAAATTTGTGCTGTAACTAATGAGTGAATGTTAGTGTAACATACAAAAAAAAATGTAGCACAATTGGTGTGCTTATTGTGAAATAACACAAATATTGATAAAAATTGAATTGAAAACATTACTTAAGAGTAAATATTTTTTTGTTTGGAACCAAAATTAATACACATCATTAGCGTAAATTTTTTGGTATGATTTTGGAGTAGTACTGAAAAATGTTAACAAAAATGGATGTAGATATTGGCTATCACGTACCGATTTGGTGTACTTCTGGTAAAATTGGCACAAATATTGGTAATAAGTGAGGGGTATATACTAGATGATATTCTGGTATAATATACTAGCCTGAAACATTGACTACACTTAAAGCTAGTTAAAGTGAAAAGTGTGGTTTATATTAGACATCATTAACGTAAGAAATTATGTATAATAATGCTAAAAATGTTAAAAATAATAGTTGTACTATAAATACCCAGCACATACACAATTGGTATAGTTGTGTAAACTAAAATTATAGTAAAAATTGGTGTATATAATGGTTGATATTCTGGTAATTTATACCTTCATGAAACATTGAATATGAAACCACTACTTAAAGTAAAGGATTCTATTTTGAATAAAATGTTGGTATTACATGTCAACATCATACATCGAATCTTTCAACTACTACTTACGTTAAAACATGTAATAATGTTGGTATATAGTGTCTGACATGTTGGTATTATATACCAATCTCACACATAGTTATATTATATATACCAAAACACACATTTTTATTGAAATGTTCTATTATAAACCAAACTCACAATAAGTTCTCACAAAAAATTAACCAACATAATGAACCAAATAGAGGTAGTTAAACTCCAAAATAAACATAATATCCAACAATGATATTCTGATAATGTATACCAACATGAAACATTGAAAATGAAGAATACGGAGAGTTTAGACGTTTGGGAAGGAAATTTCCTAGAAACTATAACTCAACTATGGCTACATCAACTTTATTGGTAACATAAAAAGTTATATCAAAAAAGGAAGAAAATAAATATGATCCCAATAATAATCAATGAAACGTGTAGATATGGGACTATAATAGGAGAGATAATATTGGAAAAATTTAATATCCTAATTATACTTCACATTAAATGCACGTAATAAAAAAGCATGAGAGAGAAAAATTTGAAAAAATAAATAAACTTAAAAATGAAAATCAATTAATTTGCTATGTATGTAATTTAAAAACTATGTTTGTAATTAAATAGAAGTACATTGATATTTTGTTAATTAAAGTCTTAAGTAATATACTTTTGTAATTTTTCCTAAAAAAAATCAAGTGTAGTTGTTGGACTTCATATTCCACCATGATGTAATTAAAATATTAATTTTATTTTGATTTAGTAGAGGAGCAAAATGGTAATCCAACTCTGAAGGTTGGAGCTTCACACTTCATAATATATGATGATAAAATAAAATTAAATACAATATAAATTAATATAATATATATTATGATGATATAAATATTGATTTGATTATGAATTTTGTAATAAAATTTTACTATGCCTCTATTTATAAAATAACAATATAAAATACTAATGATATTATGAACATGACTATTAATATGAAAGAGTAAATTAATGTATGAAATCTGAAAGAAGTTAAAGATGTATTATTAACTTCAAAATTAGTGTATCTTCATATCACAATGAAGAATGTCTATTCATTTATTACTTTAATAAATATTTTTGAATAAATCAATTTAAGTAGAATGACCATTAAGATACATTTACGTGAATTTGGTCTACATAGAACAATTTTCGCAACTTTTTAAACTCTCCATAATTTGGTCATCATGGGTAACTAAAATTGATGATTGATGCCTATTCATTTAATATTTAAAAAATATCATAAACCCAATAAATAACCGTAAAATAAGTTATAGATATTTTATTATTTATTTAACTATATATGTTATTAATAATATTATTGTAGCAACTCAACTTTATAGGATTATTTTGATATTTCAACATTTGACTTTTTTTGTTCCCACTTATAGTAATACTAGATATTAGGTTCCCGCGCCAGCGCGGGCCCAATATATATTACTTCCTCCGTCTCATTTTATGTGAGATAGTTTGATTCGCCACGGAGTTTAAAAAAGAAATGAAGACTTTTAAAACTTGTGATCCAAAATGAATGATATAAATTTATATGACTGTAAATTATTTCATCAAGGGTAAAATAAATATTTTATAATCAAATTGCTACTTAATATAGAAATGTGACATTCTTTTGGGATTGACTAAAAAGGAAAGTAAGTAACATAAATTGGAAGTAGTTCTTTGTTTCAATTTATGTGACACCGATGAAATTTGGAGAGTTATATAATTTTTTGTATGTGATTTTGTTAAATATATTTTGAAGTTGTTAATTTATTGTGATTTATAGCACTTCTTATATCATTTTCAAATAATATATATTACTCTTTCTGTTCCATTTTATGTGACGTAGGTACTTTTACGAAACTCAACTAAATTTCTTATATGATTCTTAAATATTTTTATTTGTTATTTTACTTTAATTTACGGTACTTTTTATGTTATTTTCAAACAAACTTCTTTTGTTTCAATATGGAATTAAAGAGTCAATAAAATTTCTTTTATGATTTTTAATTATGTTTTTTTTAATATCTTATATTATTACATTGTGATTTTAAGTACTTTTTATGTAATTTTTAAATCTAGAACAAATTAAAATAAAAACAAGGACAAATTTAAATGAAGAAAGTACTAAAATTTTCAAATAATCATATTTCTATATTAAAATGTTAAAAATTTTAAAACTCCACATATATGCAGAAAATCATATACGGAAGACAAAATAATTTTTAAAATATATATTAAAGCTCTTTCTAATAATATCACATATTTATTCTATTTTTCAAATAATATATATTTCTCACTCAATCTCAATTACGCAGTACATATGAAATTTCGAGAGTTAATTAAATTTTTAGTACTATTTTAAACTATATTTTAGTACTATTTATATAATTTTCAAATAATATATGTTACTCACTCTATTATATTATGCAATACATGTGAAATTTCAAGAATTAACCAAATTTTAAATATTTTAAATTGATTTTTAGTACTATTTTTGTAGTAAATAGAGAAAGATGAAGAAGAAGGGCAAATCGGTCAATTGACTGACTGACCCTAAGCTCCTAAACATTCTCACTTCTAAATGCAAGCACGGGCACAATATCCGTTAAATTGTTAATTGTTATGATTTATAATATTTTTTACATTATTTTCAAATAATATATGTTATCTATTTTTAAGTACTTTAAGTTGTGATTAATAATATTCTTAACGTAATTTCAAATAATATATGTTACTCCATTTGTCCCAATTTATGTGACAATGTGAAATTTTGAGAGTTAATATGTTTTTCAAATATTGTAAGTTGTTAACTATTGTGGTTTATGGTATTCTTAATGTAATTTTTCAAATAATATATGTTATTCCCTTCGTCTTAATTAACAATTCGCGTAAAATTTCGAGAGTTGATCGAATTTGTAATATTTTAAATTTATTTTTTAGTACTATTTAAAAAGGAAAAAAAATAAAATATAATGAAAGAAGAGTGTATAAAAGTAGGTGGGCCATGTTTGTGATAGGCCAATGAAGCGTGTGCTTATTCACTCTTCTTATATAGTAAAGTAATATATGATGATGATATGATAACTTTTTTTGTTCTCACTTATAATAATATATGATGATATGATATACGTATATATAGTTGAAAATTTGTATCCACTTCAATTTTATATTCATAAACTATACGCTTTTATTTGTGGGAGAGGTTTAGCCATCTCTTTGGATGAGATTTTGCCTACCTAATCAATATATATAAATTTGTATCTAATTCAATTCTATATTCATAAACTAAAGCGTAATCTTAGGCGTTGCTAAACAAAATTGAAAATATGGAGAAATTCATTGTCATTGTAGATATGTCCAACAGGTTCCAAGGTCAATCCCCCATTTCATGTGCAAAACATGTTGAAGGTAAAAACTTTTTAGAGAGTACAAATTCATATTTTCTCAATCTCAATTTATGCTACATTGCTTGAATTTCAAGACAAATAAATTTTACACTTTTTCATATATTTTTTTAAATATTTTAAATTGTTAATTATTATGATTTATAATGCTTTTTAACATAATTTTTTATATAAATTTAATTTTTAAAAAGTGAGAAAAATCTATATCCGAATTCATAACTAAAATTAAAAAGTTTGACTCTTTGAAAATTATGCATAAACATAATGTATTAATTCAACAGAACTACGTATGGGCGTAAGTTTCCTCCTTCTATTTATCTTTTCGGAGCTTGGAGGCTATTCAATTTAGTATCACTAAGGCTGAAAGCAGGCAACTTAAATTTTACTACAATCACAACTCCGTGGCAAACGATCGAGTCGAGTCGAATATGAGTCGATCAAAAAGCAAAAAGCAAAAAGCAGAACAGAGAGGTAAATTACAAAGCTAAGAAAAAATTGCATAACAGAGACAAAAAAACAATGCAGAATAATTAAAGAAGTATAAAATAGAGGGGGGAAATGCACAACAGAGACAAAACACATAGCAGAATCACCCTAACGATGCTTGTATTAACCAAACTTTATGTAAAGGAATTAAATTTTAAGCAATTAAATACCTGATTGTCAAGAACTAGTGAGACGACTCATCAAACGTTGCATTCGGCTGTAATCTTGTTATCTCCTGTATTCAGATTAGCAAACCAGAAATAATAAAAGATGAAAAGAAAAACACAAAGAACTATCCGAGTCCACAGAACCCACTGTGTGTCCTTAAGAAATTTAATCCCCTCAAGTACCCGAGGTTGCAGATTAATTCCTCCCAAGATAAAACGGATTAACCATTAAAGAAGTAGCGGTACCTCAAACTTCGATAATTTCAACGAACTCAAAATGACAGCAACGAATCACACACACAAACACGATCGATCGATTTTGTTTTGTAAGAAATGTATGCAAAGAAGGGAAGAATTCGATGCAGAAAAATGAGAGAAAACCTCTCAATTTATAGCCAACAAAGGGTAAAGGTCACAACCCTTTGGAAAGAAGACAACCTTTCAGAAAGGTCACAACACTTTGGAAAAGGCACAACCTTTCAAATGGTCACAACTCTTTAGAAAGGACACAACCTTTCATAAAGGTCACAACCCTTCGGCTTAGTCACAACCCTTCAGGAGAGTCACAACCCTTCATTTCCTGTTCACACCTTTAAAACCCAACAAATCCAACATATGAAAACCAAATGCGAGATCACTAAACCAATATTCAAATTTTCAACAAAATTGACATTAAGCAGAGGAAAAGTATACTAACTTGCAACTTCACATCTACAACGCAACATAAAACATAAAGAGGGAGGTTATAAGTACTCACGAAATAGTACAAGAAATTAGAAAAACTTACAGTTATATATCTTCTGTTTGATATTTTCAGCCTCCATGAAATAATCAGATGCCCCATAAATTCCTTGTATCTGATAAATTTAAAGGTTAAAACTCATCACTAGTTTTGCAGAGCCCCAACATATTTGGCTTTATCAAAAGATCTAGTTGGATACATTCTTTCAAGAATTTAGAAGCCCCCATCAAAACAAGTTACACAGCTTAGGATGTTAGAAAATACAATAAAGCACAAGAGTTTTTGATTAGGTAACAATTTCATTGATCACAAGGTCAAAGTTGATTGTATACAAAAAATATATCAAGGAGAAAACAACATACAAAAAAGACACCCAAAATCCTCTAAACAATACTAAATAAGGAAGCAAATTTTACTCCTTTATCAATATCAAGTCACATTAGAGCCACTAAATTTCATACGAAACCAAAACAATTAAGCAAGATGGTCAGGATCTTGTTAGCAACTACAGAAATAGACTATAATAACATGAAAATGATTTAACTTATACACTGACATCATGTAACTTAGGCAACAAATATATTCAAAGGTGTTTTTGCTCAACTGATTTGTTTAAGCAAGGTAGACATGAATGCTCTTATAGCAGTCTAATCCTTTTCAACAATAATAAGTTCAATTCTAAATGCATAATTCTTCATTCGACTATGAAATTTTCAACTACTCATTCCACACAGTATTTAAGTCCTCATTTGATGTTATTCATAATATCAAATCCACCACCTCTATAAAAATGACCCAACAACTTTTCACAAAACTCAAATCTAAATCTGAAGGAAATAAAATTACCCAAGGTAATAATATATGCACAAGTAAAAGACCCAACAATGGTTATATAAAAGAGACTTATTAATCTACAAATAGTAGGTAGGAGACTTTATTCAATAACTCTTGTATTTTTGTACATTGAGTATATCTCTCTACTACTTGAATGTATCTCTCTACTACATTGAATATATGTAATAAGACACCCCTATTTATAATACTAACAACCAAAGTAAACTAGGACTAGAACTAACAAATCCTAATTAAACATAAATAAAGTAAATACCATAAATAACAAATCCTAATTAAACATAAATAAAGTAAATACCATAAATAACAAATCCTAAACTATTAAGGAATTCTAAACTACTTAGGAATCCTACTCTTCGTTTATTTCCTACATAGCCTCTCTTAAACCAAGATCTACAAATATGACCATGCATAGCCTCTTCTTCAACTTTATGAACAACTCCAATTTTAATGGCTTTGTGAAAATATCAACAACTTGTTCTTCGGTCTTGCAATATTCAATCATTATCTCTTTATCATGGACCAAGTCACGAATGAAGTGTCATTTGATGTCAATGGGTTTGCTACGGCCATGAAAAACTGGATTCTTTGTTAACGCAATTGCAGACTTGCTATAACAAAATATTTTTGTAGGACTATCTTGCTTGTGTTGAAGAAATCGAAGCATCCTTGTCAACCATAATGCTTGTGTAGCACTACTTGTTGCAGTCATATACTCTGTTTCAGCAGTTCATAAAGCAACAACTTGTTGTTTCTTTGAAGACCATGAAAATACACCAGATCCCAAATAAAATGCATAGCCCAGAAGTACTTTTTCTTTGCATCATATCACTAGCCCAATCACTATCAGTAAATCCAACAAGATTACTATCATTAGTATTTGAATAAAATATGTCATTAGAGTGTGTACCTTAAATATATCTCAAAATTCTCTTGATGGCTTGCAAGTGAGATTGACACGAAAACTCCATAAATCTACTATTTAATCCAACTCCATAAGTAATATCATGCCTTGTAGAAGTCAAGTATCTTAGACTCCCAACCAATTTTCTAAATTATGTAGCATCAACAAAATCGTGTGTGCCATCTTTGGTCAACTTCAATCTCTCTTTAGACGAATTCAAGATCAATTTGACTTTCTTCATATTTAATATTTTAAAAAATATCAGCATCATTATTTTTTCTTTTCTTGTATTCTTGAATAACCATTATTGCCTTAAAATCATCTGCTTCTCCAATAGATTTGTAGTTGGTCTTGCATGTCCATTCGACTTCAGTTGATCGTGTATGTGGTATCACTACAAAAAAAATCAATATTTAGCGACAAATTCTAGCAACGAACAAATTTTTGTCGCTAAATAACGACGGATTAGCTGCAAATTTACAATTACGTCACTAAAAAAAACTAAAAGTAAATGAACATCATATGTAGTGATGGACTAGTGACGAAATATCAAATTTGTTGCTAAATTTGGCGCCAATTTTACGCGCCATATATTTAACTACAAAATTAGCAATAAATGGATGGCGATATAATTAATTAGAATTGTTATACGCCATTTTAATCAGGTCAAAATAGTGTACACATTTTGGTGATTCCTAAATTAATTATCTAAGTAAAGGAGTCGCCACCTAATTATTACGGTGAATTAGGGCACCTAAAATTAATTAAAGTCTTTGTCTAAATTTAACTCCATTTTAAGATCTTACTAAACATGAGATTCTAGGTACATGTTCAATTAATCTAATGGAAAGGAATGAGGCATCCTGTAACACCCCGGAATTTAGTGAGTTGAACTAGCTAATGGGTTCTAGTGCCTTTTGTAAGAGGTTTGGAGTGTCGTATGAAGATTAGAGATTGTAAAAATGATTTTCGTACTTATAATAGGGGTTTAAGGGTTAGGGTGTCAAGGTACGACCCCCCAAGGGGTCCTTGAGGAGGACCTCAAGACAGCCCAAAAAGCTATTTTTTGGCAACAACCTACGCCTGGCCACCTACTGGCCATAGGTGGATCCACGCCCCGTAGTTTGGGGTCGTGGATCAAGGCTGGGGTTGGCCTGCAAGTCCTTAGCCTCAGGTGCAAACCACGACGGTGCAACACCATCCGTCACCCTACCTACGGTCCGTAGGTGGGGGTCCGTAGGTCCTAGCAGTTTTTGGACTTGAAGTTGTGACATATGTTCCCTTCATGTATAGCTTGGCTTATTAGGATAAGACCAAGGTTGATAGCTTGGGATGAAGGATCTATACTCTCGTAAGGGATAGCTTAACTTAGCATTGTAGAATGCATGTCATGGTAGCATGAGTTAGTAGTAGTCATGGTAGCCTAGGATTGAGGATTTACACTCTCATATGGGTAGCTTGAACTAGCATTGTTAGGATACCTTCATGGTAGCTTGACTTGGTTTGGCCAAGACCATTTCATAGTAGCTTTGGGATAGATGACTTATACTCTCCTAAAGGTAGCTTAAGATTGAGGATCCATACTCTCCTAAGGATAGCTTGACCTTGCATTGTAAGATGCATGTCAAGGGTAGCTTGAATTAGGTTAGTCATAGTATATAGCTTGGGATTGAGGACTCATACTCTCCTAAGGATAGCTTAAGATTGAGAATCATACTCTCCTAAGGATAGCTTGCATTGTACTATGGTATACTTGTAAGGGTAGCATGACTTAGTTGGTTTAAGACTATTTCATGGTAGCTAGGATAGGACACTTG